GAGAGAGAGTGTGTGTGTCTTTGTCCCCAAGAGGGAGATCAAAACGGTGAGTGAGAAGTGTGTAGGGGTGTTTGAGATGTGTGTCAGAGAGTGTTTGACCACTGTGTGTGAGAAAATGAAACAGAGCCGGTGTTGGGTTAGGTGTGTATGCACCTAAGTAAGGGTGTTGAATTGAAGTACATGTATGTGTGAGCTTGTACTCTGGCCCCATTCCCAATCAATTTAGTAGCTGTGGGGAAATGGCAGAAAGAGAAAAAGACTCATAGCTACAAAAGGTACATTTTTAACATTTAAAGCTTCAATCATCAGTAAATCATGAATTTAATCCAACACCACAGAGCCTTTTTAAGAGGGAAATGATACTGAAACAACAGGTTGCATGAATGCACACTTATCACATCATGAACAGTAAAAATATAACAAATCAAACTGGTTCATGACATAATGTCCGGGCAAGCAAACAGCAGGCCAGCACAAACCTTTAATGAGGCTGTCCATTTTAAATGTGTGAGTCAGTAGAGGTAGTAAACAGTTTCTTTCAGACCTCAAAACCTTCAAAGAGTTATTCTCAATGAGTCTGGTTCCCTCCATATAAGATACATACTGTGTCACAGAGGTCTACTCCACAAACAGAACTACCAACCCCGATTACAGATAGAATTAGAGCCAAATATTTGCCTTTTGCAGTGTATACATTATCCAATATATGTGCTAATATGAAAACAGTTTTTTTCACATTATATTAAAAATGAATCAAATACAATGCAAAATCATTGGAATATCCTTTCAAATATTTGAAACTGAAGTGGATTTGTGTCCTTTCAGGAGAAAATGAGACAAAATCCCCTGAGTAGGTTTTTTCTGCTGAAACAGTAAGGACAGCTTCTACAGTGATTTGATCCCACATCAGGGATTCATGTGTCTCTCACTGATAAGCCTTTAAACTGTACACCGAACAACACAGTATCAGAGACTGCATGGGAACATATTGTACCCATCTGCTGGATATTTCAGTACATCTGAGTTAGTCAAACATGTCATTGTTCTGAAAGTAGCTCAGGCAAACATATCTTCTGGACAGACATAACAGGAACGACAGACATCCCGACATGACTGAACAGTGAAGTAATGCGCATCCCATGTGTCAGTGCGAGCAGGTCAAAGTCTGGGTAAAAGGTCAAATGTCTTACCTGGGCAGGTGAGGGCTTGCAGTAAAATGCAGATGGCTCCCCTGCAGGAAAAACAGTAAGTAAACAGCCGGTTGTGAGAAAATACCTTTAAATGGAACATCTATTACAATTTTGAGTAAAATGCTATGAATTAAATACAAGGATTAATACCAGATCTAATTGAATGTCTTTTAAAGCCTACACAAAGAAAAAAAATAGTTTGTTTTATTTAATAGTAGGCAATTGAAACACAAAGATGAAACATTAGTGGTCCAGAAACCCATTCTGTTTCCACCCTGAACAAACTGTACAAAGACAAGTCAAGGAATGGCTGTGACAGCTGTGTACGAGCCCAGCTCTTACATAAAACTATCAAGCATTAAAATATTAGTTGATCATGTTCATTTTACCATCACTAAGGAAGGCCATCAGCGTTTTCCCTTCCCAGACTGAGCAGTTCCTCTTCACAGGCGGCGCTGGTGATTTAACATTTGCCCATTCATGCCTACAGTAGGTCAGACACCCAGTAGGACATTTCACTCATGGCTTCAGTCAGGCGCCGCCGGTTCTTCAAGCACAGCACCGCGATGCTTGTCCATGTTCCTCACTTCTTCCCTGTGAATGGGAAAGATGAGTATTAACCTTTTTGATGAGGGTTTTTAAAAAAGCATCAGTAATAAAGTAGAGGATTGATATGTAATGTGATTACACTCATCGATATGGAAAAGTATTCAGTGAGAATGTCTGTCATGTACATCTACGCAGCCCTTTACGTGTTAAAACTTGGTCTGCCTTTCCACCGCTGCACTGTGAGAAATTAGCAGCTGTTCACAAAGGACATACACAAATCAGGGTTGGACTGCGTATGTGTCGCCATCTAGGGGAGAATGCACCCTTTTACGCTTCAGCAAGGCAGAGTTATATGGCTTTATACACTGGTGCATAGTGATGGAAAATCAGACAAGTACCAGATACACTGCTCCAATGTTGGCATGTAATTACTCTTTTCATAAAGGAAATAGATTATGTTAATCTAGGTAAAAGCATTAATACCTTATTCATTCGTTTAATTTATTTAACCAGGAGATCCCTTCATTTTGATATCCATTTTCTGAGGGAGACAGCACACTAGTTACATAGGATTTGCCATCAAACAACAAGAGCAGTGGCACAGAACAACACTGGATTGGAAAAAAGGGGCAGTAACTGGGCAAGTATTTAAAAATATACTAATCGTACATAAAGTTTAGTTTAGCAAGATGGTGATCAATGTGTTTGTATTGTCATGCAAACGTGTGTTGTTTAGGTGTCCTTAGGCAACACAATGGGCTCTGTTTTCATGGGGACAAACGGTGCAGTGGCTTTTTTCTGATCCAGTGTCACATAACATGTTCACACTGTACTGGAAAGTGTTGGCTGCGTTTCATAGTGGTGTGACGGTTAATTATGGGGAACTTACAGTTGTTGTTTTTTTTACAGCAACTTTGTAGTATTGTGTCAGAGCCAGTTTGGTGCAAAAGCATTACTGCCGGTAGTTGCATTCAAATTCAGCCAATAACCTTAATAATCACTGAAGTAACACAACGTTTAACCTGCAACACAGAGAACGTACTTACCTTCATCTTTGCAATGTGTACAATTTCTCAGCATTAGGCCTTTCAAATATGTCTACAAGTTAATATATATTTTATTATGTTATATTTTAGTTATATTTGAATTTTAACTTTTTAACTTTATTCTATTCTTCTATTTTGTGTGTTGTCTAAAGAGAGTTGAGCAAAGTTAGATTTTCATTTTACGTATAAACCACTGTGTTTCTTACTGTACATACGACAATAAACTTCTTGAATCTTGAATCTTAATTCAACCCCTTTGTTGCTGTATATTTAGAGCGGAATTAGTTACATATTTATCAGGACATTTTCATCAGGCATTGCTGCGTACAGTAAAGTGTTTGCTGTCCCACTGTCTTCAGCTGCCATTAGCTAACCTTACTGCATAAACAAATATAACCACGTTACCGTTTTGTCCTAACACATAAAACGTCCACCGGAGGACTTAAATGTGCGACTTTGGAAAGCTGCTGTAAGGATGTAAACTTCAAATTAAATCAAGAACAAGAACAAAAAACAATATTTATCGAAAAACACTATTACTTTCTGTTTTGTTTCGTCTTCCCGCCGCTGCCCATAATTAGTTTGACTTTCTTGCAGCTGTGTGAGTTGCTCCTCGAGTTGCACTGCATTGTGGGACATAAGCTCATCCACAGCACAGTCCAAAAATGAGGGGATTTATTTTTCATATTGACACTCTACATACTCCAAACTCTCTCTATTAGTTATTTAAATAATCTGATAATGTGGAGTTTGTATGAGAAAGGGTACAGTACAGGTTTAAATGGCCGTCCCCTGCCGCTGCCGACAGCTCACCATCACTTCACCCAACACTGGGAGCTCAGTCTAACCCTTTCACTGTCCTGGGTCGCCCCCCAGTGGCCAAACACCCGAAGTGCACCAGCGACAGCCAGGAGAGGGGTGGAGACAAGAGAAAAAATCCAAGGGGAGAGAATTCAAACGCTCTTCCTGGAAATAGTAGAGAACCCGCCACAACTTCACCACATGACATTTCAGAAAGAAAATGCGACACTCCTTCCTCCAGCCCCAGCGAGCCCGCATTTCATTCAACAAGCCGCTTATTCAGCCCCGAACCGGCCAAATATCACAGCCACACGTTGTATATCACACCCACGGACACGACCCATCGCCTTTTCGTGCATTTCTAAACGTGTAACCGAGATCAACACAAGGCAAAGATTGCGACATCACCAACTCCAGACCTACCTTCCCGTAAACTATCCCTTCCTTACCGTAAAAACATGACATCACCAGCATCAGTTTCAATATGAATTTCGGGGGAAAAACAGCTGTCAGCAACACAGAAACTGCTGCAGTATGTTAACTTATCCACGTAAAGTTGTGGAGCTCGTTGCACTATAAAAGCAATTACATAATACGATCAAACCATCCCTTTAAAAAAAAAAAACCAAAAAAAAAACCACCACAATAATATAGGCTGCTGTTTTCATATAGATGCACCGTGAGTTTACTAGACTTACAATGATACAAATGCTCTAGTAGTGGCTTGCATTTTCTCCGTTATGTTGATCGTGTCCTTTAAGATTTATTACAGCATGAGGATACTGTAGTTCAGGTTGTTTTCAATGGAGTCTGATTGGTTCCCGTGTTACAATTAGGTAACACGGGCTGTACAGCCTCACATGTCAGCATGTATCCCTGATAGAGTCACACTGTGCTTACCTTTTATGTGCAATCCAAAATGTGCTGGTGGGGAGGTGCCGCGCTGACTCTCGCTGTAAAAACAGTGTAATAGTGGAAAATCTGCAAAAGCGGTCCATCTCCTTTCCCCCAGCCGCGGATGACGCAGCCCCCTAAAAAGCCCTCTCCCAAAAAAAAAATAAAATAAAAAAAAATACATGAAACCCCATTCAACATCCATAACGCGTTTAGGTGCAAACGTCGACACGGGGAGCTGCTGTACACGCAGATGGATCACAAGCCCGGGCTGAGAAAATGTGGATCGCCCATGGGCAAGGCATGACGGATAAGACTCATCACTGATCTTGCATCTCTGCACAGTCATATCGCCTTTCTAAATGATTGCACAGCTCGTTTCCTCCTCTGAAGACCATCTGGTAAAAAAATCGCCAGCTTCTGTAGCGTCCGAGGCAGCGGGGGTTTGCAATGGGCACGGATTCCCTAATCATCCAAAAACACAACTGATATCCATTTCCTAGAGAGGAACGGTCCGCCGCGATCAGAGCACGCAGTCTTTAAAGAAATTGCGCAGTTTTTATTCCATTGAAACGGAGACTCTTTCCCTTCTGTCCCCGTTGAAAGGCTCTTTCCCTTCCTCCTCCCTCCCTCCCTCCCTCCTCTCGCCTTTCTCTCCTTCTCTCTCTTCCCTCATGCAGGTTTATTTTCGGTGGAAGAGTCTTGGACATTAACTGCCCCGCCTCCATAGTCACTGGCAAACAAACTGTACAACTTGCCCAAATTCCATTATTAACTACTGTTCAATGGAGAACAACTGGACCCCAGGTTTTCCCCGTAGAACTATTTGGTTCAAGAGTCAAACTCTCGGTTGGAGGTAGTTACTAAAGGGGCCAAGAGCCACTTGAGGAATCAAAAGTTTTGCTTTGGAGATGTCTGGTAATATTGTCAGATCCCTGTCATTTCCCAAGAAACTGAAAACTGGAGCAAGAGCATGTTGGGAAATCAAATTAAAGCACAAGGCAAACCCATCAAGGTCAGAAGCTCCCACACAGACGTTCAGTTGGCTCTCCAGGGTGTTGTCGGGGGTCCCTAGCAAAGTTAGGATTGATTTCATTTCACTGGTAGTACATTCAATAGGAGACGTTTCCCCATGCTTACCCTGTAATGTGACTGAACATTTTCAAACATGGGTCTACAGGTCTGCAGACGATAGATTTCAAGAGGTCCTTATTACATGAAAAAGTTTGGATACCCTCATCACAGATATTCCATAAATGTCCAAATTTCTTCAAAACGCAGGAATTTCAGAAGCGGCTGTTTTACAATCTCTGAGTGGATGAGCAGATGGAAGAAATTGGCTTCCAGTGCCCTCAAGAAATGAATATTTCTGCGGACTGGGAGAATTTGAAAACCGTGGCCCTGAAATAAAACATCCGAAGAGATACTACCTCCTACAAAATGATAATCACTTCAAATGTGCACCTTTTTAAAAGCATAGCAACCATAAAACCTTGGATACTTTATTCCTGTACTGGAATAACACAAATCTAATGCATGTATTAGACAGGAAGGTTAATTACCACCGCATAACAAATGCATCTAAAATGTTTCCACACCTCATTTACGCTCCAGTATATTTCAGCTGGAGCTTTTATCCATAAAAACACCTCCCAAGTCTGATATTTTTGTAACAACCAGGCCTGAGAATAAGCCAATTTGAATTTGAATTCAGCATGTTGCTATGAGTGCCCCCCTCCATCTCCCACCCAACCAGAGACCACCAGTGTACACACACACCACACCAACACACCACACAACACACCCACACACAACCACAGAGACCTGGGTCTGATAAAGATGCATCTAAAACCCTGAGGAAAGTCGTGTTCAGTCTTTCAGGGGGACAATCCTTACGTCGAATACAACCCTTGAAACTCAGCCTCTCTCTCCGTCCCTCCTCTCATTATTGGACATTTTCCTCCCGCTCACTCTTCTCCAGGGTCCTTCTCTTGTTTTCCGTCTCCCTCGCCGTTTCCAGGAGTTTGGGCTGAGATTCTATCCAGTGTGGAAGGTCCGGGCCATTCTCTCTCAAAACAACGCTGACGACTCCAAACGTCTGCTTCTGCGCGAGCTTCATTAGAATTCATTTTTTGAATAGGTTCATTTCTCCTTCACTCGCTCCCTCCCTCTGTCCTCTTTTTCAACTAGGGGGAAATGCGTATTAGCATAAAAATATCCTTTACCTCACCTTGATTAACTTCATTGTTTGCATGTGTGCCTACTTGTGTTTGTGTGTGTGTGTGTGTGTGTGTGTGTGTGTGTGTGCTGTGTGAAAGCTTCTGTGTATGAGTTTGCCAAACCAGGGGTGACTCTATGTTTTGCAAAAATAAAATATTATTCTTTGGTTTAAAGGTGTAAACTAACCAATAACTGTAGACTTTTGTTCATATTTGAATTGATTTGTATTCCTAGGACTGTTTGGTCCACAAAGCCAGGAAGTGATATATTACAGCATTCATAAAAAATATTAGAAATTCAAAACTGAAGCACTCATCCCCAATAATGTTATTTAGCACTTGGCCCAGCACATGCTAACACAAAATACCAAACAACTAATTATTACTAAGGAATTCAATGAGCACAACATGCACTTACATGACCAGATAGTCGCTTGATCCAGATGTTACAGAGAACAAAGTTTCCAGTAACTGTGTAACACGTCACAGTAGGAGATTATTCCCTGTGTATGTGTGTGGGTGTCGTGTGTAAGTGTATGTCTGAGCAGGGTAAAAGGGGGTCAGCATGGAAAGACTGATGCAGGTCTGCGAAGAGGAGTGAAAAATTGGTCACATGACGACAGAGAAGGCAGACAAAAAAGAAAGAGAAGAGAAAGAAACCTCAGCAGATTTGTGTCAGACCAGCTTCAAAGAGTCAAAGAATGACTCAGTCCATTTATTGTTAAGCCCCAGGTGTGAAAACCTGTTTTATAGAATCCAATATATTTGAGAAGTAGCACAGTGTTTTACATTCCATTTGCTGTCTATTGTAGCCTTCAAATGTGAAAGTCACAAACAAGGATATCACATTTTAAAACAATAAATAATAATCAGTAGAAACAAAGTGTCAGAGTCCGTGTGTGTGTGTGTGTGTGTGTTAAGGCCTTCAGTTGTCCAGGCTCATGAGAAGAGCAGTCCCTCTCTTGATCCAGTGGTCTGGGGTCACAGCTCCGGATTTGAGCTCTACGCTGACCACAAAAGATTCTCGGCCTGCCCTGCCCGAACGCACCGGGAAGTAGTAACACGGACACTGGTAAATACCTACACACACACACAAAAAAAAGACACAGAGTTGAGACAGTGAAACCATAGGACATGACATCACAAACTACTTACAAACAGATGGAGAAAACAAGAAGCCAAAGATACAATGAAAAAAAAAAAAAGAGGACAGAAGGACAGACGGTGGGATGCGGCAAGGAAATCCTTAACAAAAAGTGCCAAACAACTCACTCTTGGCTGTCTTCTTGCGGTTTTCCACAGGTTTGAAGTGGATAGTGGGGACGGGACAGACCATCTGCATGGGTTCTGGTTCTACCAGACAGCAGTTCTTCTTGTCCCAACCAGCCCCCTCCAGGTACAAACCTCGGATATATACTCCATCCTGGAGGGTGGAGAAAAGGGAGGGGGAAATCAGGGACGGGTAAGGCGATAGATATGTTATAGACAGTTGTTTGGAGGTGACATTTAGCATACAGCTTTGGAAAAAATGTTTATGACAAACAGCCATGCCAATTAGGTAATGAAACTGAGAGAGGAAATAAGAGGGGAGGGGGGGGTCGAAAACAAGGGAAAGGGGAGGGCTACAGGGGGAAAGAAGGAGGGAGGAGAGAGAAGAAGGGAGGTAGAGGAGAGAGGGTAAAAGGAAGGAAAGGGGAGCGGGAAAAACGGGTGGCACGGAAGGGAGAGGAGAAGCAGTTGGTCACAAGGGAGAGAGTAAGGGAAGAGAAAGGGGCAAAAGATAGTGGGAAGAAGAGGAGTTAGAGGAGGAGAGACAGGGCGTAGGAAGAAAGGGGGAGGGAAGGAGGAGAATGGCAGAGAAAAAGGAGGAGAAGCAAGAGGGACGCAGCACAAAAGACAGGAAGGGTCGGAAGTGTGTACTGGTTTTGGAGTAGCATAGAGAGGTAAAAATGGAGAAAAGGGAGAAAGACGTGAGAGGAGTTGATCCAAAAAAAAAGTGTAGTACAAGATGAAGTGAGTGAGGAATAACGAGTTGAAACGACAGAAATTCTGAAGTGGCAGCAGTCTGACAAATTAAAACATTTTCCAGCAATGTGAAAATTTGAATTGTAAAACAGCAGATTGGAGGAATGGGAAGAGAAAGGCGTGCTGCTCTGAATGAAAACACTTTTTTATAGGAAAAACCGAAGAGTCAGTGTTTGAGTAGAAATGAAAAAGTGTGAAAGTGGTGATGACAGCTGAAATCTAATGGCTCAGAAAAGTGGCATGTTTTTATGGAAATCTTTATGGAAATAGAAATGTGTGTATAGGAAGTTACCTTGGGTGGGTAAAGGAGGTTGCTGTCATCTACAGTGGACACTATAAACTCCCAAGAAAGTGTGTCCACCGATATCTGCAAGCACAGTTTCACACAATTTTAACTGTTGTTATCACTGGACCAAAAGTCCATAGAGCCATACAGCATAACTGACTGCACAAGTTTCTTAATGTACAACATTAAGTGCGGTAGTGGTTGTTGGCTGTGAGATGCTGAGACTAATGTGTGTGTTCAGCAGGTTGGGTTTGCCAAACCAGCACTGCAGTGTGTATCTGAAGACCAGGGTCTTTTCCCAGGGTGTTTTTTATGTGTGTATTATGTGTGCTGTAAAATTTGAACACAACACAATCAACAATTAAAAGGTGTTAAAAACTGAATTGTAGCTGTAGTCATGCAAACATCTTTTTGGTCATTTTTCACAATTTAATCTTTAGTTGTAGAACCACATAGTTTACTGGGTTGGGCTTATGAACCCCTTTAAAACATCTACTGTTTAAAAAGGACCGTCTGCCTATGTGCATGTGGTTGTGTAAACTCTCACGTTGTGCTGTCGAGCAGAGGACTGCAACACAGCGGTGAGGAAACCATTGGGAAAGGTGAAGCTGGAGAGCCAGAACAAGTTGGGGGGCTGGGTCGACTCTGCCCAGCTTGCAAACTGATTGACTCGCTGGCAAAGATCCCTGGTCCACGCTGCCAGGGGCTTCAGAGAGGGGTACGCCTAGTGGACAGAGAGAGTGACGCAGAGAGAGTGAGAGAGAGAGAGGGACATGGCAGATCTGCAGTCATTTCATGCTTCCAGCTGTCGGCAGCTATTTATAATGGGAACAAGTTCAGTACAGTGCAGTGGCACTAAGGTCTACATGGTTGTGTTTAAATTTTAATATGACAACTTCTTCTTCCTTTTGTTGATTTGATATTAACATGATTTGTAGAGAACCACAGAATATGACCAGGAAGCTACACATCTACAATATCACAATAACAATTCTGTGCGACAATATGCAACAATTAGTGGTACCAGTAATATCTCATTTATAATGTAATACAGTGTTTCTCAGTTTATTTACACCGTGT